TATATATATATAATTTCGTTTAGTCTCAATGTTGTTACTTCTAACCCCATCATTTCTTTACAATTTCGAATATAATTTCAAAAAAAAGAAAAAAAAAATAGAAGATAAAATTATCTTACTATTGTCGCGTAATATTTGAACGTACTAAAAAACGTTATTTATTATCTTATATCTCATAACTGTAAAAATACAATATTATACAAATCTTATTTTCTATCTCTCTCTTTCGTTTAATGTTCGTAATCTATTTGTTGACAAAAAGAAACGTTCATTAAATAAATATAGATTAAATTGAATCATACGAATGATTTTTGGGAAAGACGGTCCTAATATTTTGCGAGTCTATATGTGTATGTGTGTGTGTAAAATAAACCATTAGATATTTATATTTGGCATAGGTATGTCGTATGATTAACGGACACCATTTTGAAGGCTCTTTTGCACCCTCTTTCTCTCCCTTCCTCCCTCTCTCTCTCTCTTATTTGTGCCCGTCCGTCAGGTGTCGTAATTGGCCCAGATTCCGGTTAATTCACCAATAGGCTGTCACTGTCGCTACTGGCTGTACTTTTATATATCGTAGGACAGCTGCACGCTCACATTTCGTAATACCCTAACTGCGAAACATTGCGAATTGATAAACACATATTTTATATATATATATATATATATATATATATATATATATATATATATATACATTTGCAATGAAAGATTTCAATATTTATACGATAAGAATGTAATATTATTATTATCATTATTATTATTATTATTATTATTATTATATTCATATTGTAAGAATATTGAAACCTTTTGCAATATGTACATCGGTATATTTGTCAATCATTTTTATTTTTATTAATCAAAATTTCTTGATAACGATCGTAAACATTTGTAAATTGACAACAAGTATACATATGTATATATATATATACATATTTTTGTTGTTCTTATACAATTTGTATATTTGAATCGTTTGTACACGTGCATTTTTGTATTTCAATTGATATTATGAAATTACGTAAAAATAAGCTGTAAAAGTAAAAGAAAAAAAAAATTAATTTATTGACAAAGTATTATCACATGTGTGAGATATCTCATTTCGTTGGGTGTAAAAAAGAAAAAAAAAAAAAAAACAGGAAAAAAACAGGAAGAGGAAAGGAATAATGGATATTTTGGTTGAACCTAAGACGGGAAAAAAATCGTGTTCAAGGTATATACTTTAAAACGTTAGCTAATAAATCTGAACATACTTGAAGAAGATACTACCGAGACCTTGCATATTAGTATTAGTTAGTTGAGAAATATGCGCGACAATGACGATGACATAGTACGTAATATCTCGTAATATGTCTCTTCTCACGTGTTATTATTACGTATATATATGTACATATGTATACTCTTTTATAGTTCCATACTTTTGTATGAAACCGATTAGTGTGTTAAAATAACGCATTGTGTGTAGTAGTTTCTGTTTTTATTTTTTTTATTTTTTTTTTTTTCTTAAATTTTTCCATAAATCATCAAGAATTAAATAAAATTCTCGAACGTATGACGAAAAAAAAGAAAAAAATCGATAAAATTATTGAAAATGTAGGAAAAAGCAAAATAGAACAACAGCCGAGTTTGTTTATTTATTTCTTTTATTTTTTTTTGAACGTTGATAAAAAGGAGAAAGAAACAAGTCAAAGAAGAACGACATAAAGAGAGAAAGAGATAGAAAGAATGAATATATACATTGTGCGAAAATCGATCGGCAGTCTAATCGATTCGATACTCCCACGCCCGTTCCAATCACTGCCCTGTACGAGTTATACAAGACGTTGTGATTGGTTGATTCTCTTTCTCTGTATTTCTCTCTTTCTTTCTTTCTTTTCCTCTCTCTCTCTCTTTCCCTCTCTCTCGACCTCTCGTTCGTGCTATCTTATAATAATTTACCATTACTATTACAAATCAAATTCGTTTAACCAGTTTATTGTGATTGACGATTATACTCGTCATGTAGAATTAACATTATTTTGTGTTGTATTGACGTGTATACTCGTCATGTAGAATTGTCACAATTTTGTATTCTATTGACGAGTATACTTGTCATGTAGAATTGGTACAATTTTGTGTTCTATTGACGAGTATACACGTCCTGGTTCAATTCTGCTGACACAAAACGAGGGCGCCACAGTTAACTGGTTAAAAAATATCCCCCCCATTCCCCCTAAAAAAACAGGTTATTATTTTGTTATTATTATTATTATTATTATTATTATTATTATTATTATTGAAAAATTGGAATGATATTAAGAAAGTTAAATAATATTGTTGATCAGTTATTTATCAGGTTATGGTGATCGTTAATGTTAGAGATCAAAACTAATGAGGGAAAGGGAAGGCAAGGTAAAAAGTGGCGACCGTTCGAAGGAAAGTTTTCCGGTTTCTATAATTACATTAACTTTTTTTTCTTTCCTTCTTCCACTTCTTCTACAAACCGTTAGCTTTCACTCGTTTAATTTTAGAGTTCCACCGAATATAAACGAAAATCGATTTCGATTGTTCTTGTCATTTTGAAACTAGGTCAAAGAATAAATATTATATTAGAAGAATTTTCGTGTTAGTTGATTTAATAAGAAATAAAAAGAAATAAAAAGAAGAGAGAGAGAGAATACTTTCTCAAAAAATTATCGTAAAAAAAAAATAACAAAACAAATAACGTAAATAAACAAACGATGAGAGAGAAAAAAAAAACCTTGAAAACAATTACAGGTGATAACTCTTATCTATTATCTCGAGCACTAAGTAGTAATATTCTAGTATTATTGATCGATGATTCGGAAAAATAAAAATTTGGTAAAAAAAAAAAAAGAAAAAAGAACTAAATTGATTGTACAAATAAAATATAAATTCCTTTTTATTTTTTTTATTTTTTTTTTTTTT